CCAAATTTTAGGCCCCTCAAACAAGTCCCCCACCCCTCCGAAAATTTGATTATCACGAAAAACGAATAATTGCACGACGGTGATATACAGGAGTGCAAAAATCATGAGTTGTACACTGTTGTTTTAAATTACTTCATGCAAATACACAAGGATTTTTGATGGGAATAAGTGGATTACTTGGTTCTGTCCGAGGCTCCCGCTGGAACAAAACTGCGACTTGGGAAGGGACTTGTCCAAAATCAGGAAGCTTTGATTTCTGAAAACGTCATGTGGGATATTTTGTGGATACAGCAACTGCTACAGGGCTGCATTTTATTTTATTTTTTTCGTAAGCTATTGCTCGATGGTTATTTGTTGCCTGATATATTTTGTGGACGTGGCGAAATGAACGATTCTATGAAGTACGCAACGAAAATTCGTAACGAGGGAGTCACGTTGCATACTTACTTACTCATCCAATTCAACCTTACTGTCACAGTTCGGGACTGGACATCCGGGATGATGTACACACAATAGAGGATATCAAAACACATTATTCTGTTTGTATGAATTCTTATTTATAACTTGCTTCCCCAAAGGATTTACAAATATTCCAAACATAAAATATAAAATAAAATTAGAGGTGTGACGCGACAGAGGGCGCTAGTCACTAGGCACAGTGCAGAGTTATAGATGGCGCTCTGCCCAGTAACAGCGGCAGATGTTAGGCGCGCATAGCTAGCTGTGTGTTATGCAAGCGCGGCGCATAGGCTCCGCCTTGTGCATTGTGCGATAGGGCAGCGGAAGTCACTGCTTAGTCACGTGAGCGCGTGCGCAGGCGTGGTCAGAGCAGAGCCAAAGATTGTATAGCGGCGCTATCCAATCTTTGGTATGGCATGGTCAGAGCATGCAGCGCGAAAGCTATAAAGGCGCGCGATCCTAGCCTACGCGCGCCTTTATAGCTTTCGGAGGAGTAGTCGTCCTGGCCTGCGCCTGATCAAGCTTAGAGCTGATCCTGAGGTAGGTAAGGGTCGAGAATCCTGTGCAAGGGTTAAAGTCACCTAGCCTAGTGTGACTGTGCCTAAGTCCGAGTGGTGCGTGTGTTGTTGAGGGGCTCGGTAGGTCGGAGGGGCTGTTTGGTAGTGCGGTATAGTTCCTGATAGGAGCTTGCGGTCGATGCAAGGGCGGATTGCTATCTCGTGACGCGAGTTGCGTGTAGCGCGCGCAGCCCAAGCCCCGTAGACTTGCTAAAGTCCCTGATTCGGCACTGGATGTCCACAATTAATTGTGGTGTTCGCTGCTCTGGGCGAAGTCTGGTCACATCATAGAGTTGGATATAATATGGGTCACATACAGTCTCCCTGTCAATAGCACCCTCTACTGGTGTATTGG